CTATTCATCATGAAATCCATAAATTTACTTAAATAAAACGTTAAAAGACAGAGAGAGAGAAATCAAGTACATATTATTTGTCGCAATACTTTTTTATGAAGATGTAAATTTAGCCTTAAATTTTAAATGATCAATTTTATAATATTTAAGTGATAAAATAAAGCTTGAAATTTTTCCAAGAAATATTGTTTTTTAACCTTAATTACTAACTTATTTTTTGATCCTAATTGTCAAAATTGAGATTTATTTACTTACTTATTTTAAAAAGAACACCCTTTAGTGAAATATGTAGAAAGCAAGAGATATTTCACTAGTTTTCATTACTAAGTCTAATATATATAGCTCTTCATATAAAAGTCAAGTGTCCTGTTTCAAAAGCTGCTAATAGATGGCACCACCTCTTTTTCCGCAATTCAAAAATCTAAAAAGAACTATAATAAGAACAACTACGAGAATTATTTGTTCTGATACTCACTGTTCTAAATAGCAAAAGTAATCGAAAATAAATGAAATAATCTTCCATTTAAATAAATAACACTTTATTGATAATTTTTAAAGAAATTAAATGAAATCTCTTTTTTTTATACATAACTTCATTTATTATGCAGTAACCTTCAAGGTTACTATATGATCGTTATTTTTTGAACCACATAAACTGATTTTACATCAAAACCAAATATTATTAAATTAAAATATAACAGAAACTTTTTTTTTGTATCGACGCAGATTTAGTTTCCTAGATAAAGTTTCCGTTTTTATTCTTTCTATAAGCAAAAAATGAAACCTAATCATTTTGCTCGGTTAGCATTCCAGTTTCATTCACAACCTGTTTTTATAAAACTCGGATTTATTTTTATTTTTGTTAAAAAAAATAAGAAAATAACTAACTCTGTATTTATTTTTTTGAAAAGAAATTATTTTTCAACAGTGCAAGGAGTTAATTCTAATTTGTGCTTTATAATTTTGTATTCATTATAACTTAACACGTTGATGGGGCATGGGCTTACCCAGAACTTTTAGTATTAGTAAACGTAACTTATTTATTATTTAATAATGTAAAATGGTTAATAAGTTTTAAAACTGATTTACATTTGGTTTTATATATATATATATTATTTCATAAATAATGAA